AACGCTTTCAGAAAAAGTGACAAAACATTTGACACCGAAGGTACAGAGTGGAGCTACAGAGGCAGCGTCGAAGGAGACGCTCTGGGGCGTCTCGTAGAGACCGGAAGTACTAGCTAGGTAATAGTCACCTGTCTGTTCTATCTGAAGTCATAAAGATTACATTAGTCATTAAGATCAATTAACCCTGGTACCATGGGATTACTAAAAGGAATGTTAGAAAGGTAAATCTGATCTGAATTTTAAACGTGTTTTCAAGAGGAACATACTTTACAATGTAAGGTTGGCCAAAAAATGTGAACAAGGGAGGTGATTGTAGCTGTTATTGTGAAAAATATATGTCCTCCTTTTTAAAAATTAGTAATCTAACTACATATGCGTGACAGTGTGCTGTACAAATATTGTAAATCAACGCATTTATTGTATAAATTACCAAAAATCGCTTAAAATCGGCGTTTTGTCCTTTCTCTCGCTCATTTTCAACTATCCGCGGTCAAGCATTTTGGACCCACCGCTGACGCGACTCTCTCTTTACAGGGCTCTGGTGCTAGCTAGCTATACGTTTGTGTTGGTTAAAGGTGTTGACAGCCCCCCAAAGCCCCCTTCCCTTACCACAACCATCAGAAATGTTTGTCGGCTACCTCAACCTAAGTCACTGACTTTATGCATGTCGACCGGTGTTATGCCGAGTTTTGCCTACCTGCCGAGAATTGCATGCACCTCCAGAAAGCCTACTGCTTTTAAACGCTATAATATACTTTGTGGGGTTCATCAATGGTGATAAATGATTTGAAGTATATATTTTATGAACGTTTAGAGTCTTTAATATTTTAATACACTTAGTAGAAGTACCATTCTTTGACATTCAGTAAATATATGTGGTGATAACGCTGTTTGATAAATGAGCACAGCAGTGTCTGAAAAGGACCTAAAGATAAAGAGGTGGATGTATAATTCGGCAGATCAAATTTTGTAGGCTACCTGCCGAGATTTGCATCCACCTCTTCTCTGATAAATGACCGTTATCACCCGCGAGGTGCATGCAATTCTCGGCAGGCAGGCAGAATTCGGCACAACACCGGCTAAACCTACAGCTTTGCACATCGGCAGCCAGCAGGTAGGGTTAGCCTCCTTTGTGTTGCTGGGATGTAGCAAACGGTGGCGTTTCATACGGACGCTGAAGGGTACCTTTAGCGTAAAATCCTTACACTTGTCATGCTGTCTGAAAGCGTCAGTTATGACGCATTGAGATGAGAACGTGTTGAAATAACCAACCCATTATCACCCCTTGGCATTGGTTTTTAATGGTAGCCTTTAGCAGCATTTTTGCACGTGTATGGCTCTGCGGTAAAGTTAGCATAATATATATGTATATATGAGAACGGGCTGAAATAACTACTTCTATCACTGCATTTAATATTTTTACAAACCAGCCATTAAAAGCTTTTATTGTGAAGCAGTCACAGCTCCGTTATAAATTGTAACTTTGGTGCATATGTCTGTGTAAAGCATATGCTTATTGCTTTTTTCAGCAGGGAAGAATGATTAGATGCAGAGGTGCATGTGACAGGTGCTTACTGCAGTTTGGGTGAACAATAATCTTCCAACATGATGCCAGGGTAGGTGACACTCAAATTATGGGGACGTTTTGAACTGAAAAGCACATTTCTTCAGGGTTCTTCTAAACGTTTGATAGTTCCCTATACCTAGGGGGAAGGACTGGACCTGGATAAGCTGCGTAAAAGAGACTAATTGACGATGGAAACACTTTTTTTTTTAAATATCACATTTTCTATAATGAGCATTCAAATACTCAACATATTATTCCACTATACCACACAAGGAACGTTGCAATCTTCTACTGAGTTTGAATGTTAATTTTTGTCTTGATATCCAGGCAGATAATCAGATGATATTAAATGACAAAGAATGCATGCAATCAATAACAAAGACTCAGAGGCCACTTTGACACATGAACAATAACATCATGATTAACAAAAAGCAGAGGCACTCACCATCACATGCCTTTATTGCATTAAGAGGTTCCGCATTCTATTAAGAACACAAAAAAAAGTATTAACTAGTAATCTGTTTGTGCGTTTCCAATATTCTAACCCAAAATTATTTATCTAAACATAAAGCAAGAAAAGTATACTGTATTCAAATACAATTTATTTGTTTTCTTTTTGCATGTATTGCAATGGGATGTAACTGACGGTGATGCTTTCATTGTGAGGCGCTTGCATTTTTGTTTTTGTTTTTTTACAGCCCCACACACACACACACACACACACACACACACACAATGAATATAATACATGTACTGAATGTGGAGACTACAATATATGCTAGGCACTAGGTATGCACAGTTCATGTTATGGGATGTGACAACTGTAGAGTGGCTCAAAAAAAGAAAATCAGGTCCCTGACAGAAACGCTCGCCCTGCACTGTTGAGTGTATGACTTCACAGACAGTGACTGCCTGAGATCACCTGTTTGCTTCAAGGGAATGCTTGGTTACTGGTGAAGACCTCAGTTGTACATTCTCTGGCCAACATGTGTCTGTAGTGCCTACGTATGGATTGGTTTTGTTGTTGGCTTTGTACTCGTCACTGTATTATCGAATGCCATTACACACACACAGACACACAAACAGGCCTGGGATCTGAGAAAGAAAGCAAGAAAGGGTTAAGACAACAAAAAGCAGGGGTGCAAAAGGAAATGACAAATAAATGCTGAACAATTGCGGTGTGATATTGAATCATATTGTGCAGTAGGGGTAAACCGCGGCGAAAGTAAGACGGGGCGAAAGTAACAAGGCAATTTTCTCAGAGCCCTGACTGCATTTGCAGTCCAAGCTGTGACAGCACCTTCAGCATGCAACCCTTGATGGAGCTGCCAAATATCGCATGATTTCATCATCGTTCCCTGCGGCCGTCTTCGGAAAACTGTTTTCGAGCACTACAAGTAAATTTCTGAAGCGCAACTCTTTTTCGAATTACAAGTTGTGTCTCTTGTTTCATGTGTCACAGTAATGATTAATCTACAGGTTATTTAGTGCTTTAACACACCCTGAAGTTTGCCCTGTCAGAGTTTTTCAGTATAAAAATAAATCGTGTTTATATGTCAGGAGTTCCTGTTGGAAAGTAACAAGTGTTACTTTCGTCCCGCTACACCTGACCACAAGTGTTTCTTTTGTCCCGCTGCTAATGTGGTGACATTGTGTGTGTTGCAGTATTTATTAAAACATGTTTATATCATACCAACAGAATATGCCAATAGCGTGGGTCAGTAAGACAGAGGTCTCTGATAAAGTCTCATGCCATGCGCTTTGTTCAGATAATGCAGGAGGAGGACAGAGATAATTGGGGAGAAGACTAGACCACAGGTACAGATCACATTATTAAGTCTTCTCCTTGGACTAGGAGAGGAAGCTGCATGCTTATATTAAGAGAGCGGCTGATATTTATTTTGGCCTGTCTCCTAAGGAGGTCAGTGTAGTAGGTGTCAGTAAAAAGCACTCAAAATGCAGCTCACTCATACTGTTCTTACTAAAACAAATTTAAATTCATTTCAAAATGTGAAATTTGTATAGGCCTATTCTGTAAATAGCTTTTTAATTTGTATCTTAATTTTATTGTTTATTTTCATTTTTGTCTTATCTATTTTTTCACTGTTTCTGAAACTGCTACAACATGCAAATATCCCCAGTGCAGGATCAGTAAAGTCTTGTTTTATTTTAATCATGTCAGGTTCATAAACAATCTCCATCTAACCATTCCCCCCCTGTTTTAGGTGCACACATTTGCATATTTATATTATATATTTATGCTATATCCTTAATATGAAATATTCTAAACAATTCAAGTTTGGGCTGTCAGGTTACTTTTGAAACTGAATATTTAAAACAAAAATGTAATTTAATTTTTTTAAAGATAAAGGACAAAAGATGTTTGCAGTTACACATTAACAAGGTCACAGTCATGTTTATCTATTAAATACAAGTGTAACACAAAAAATCTTGTATTGTGTTACTTTTGTCCCAGCTGATGGGGTCAAAAGTAACAATGTGCCACTTATGTTTAAAGTGAAATTATACGGAAATCGTTCTACATTTGTACAAAATACCACCTGATATTGATAGACCACACCTGTGAGTTAGTGACCACAGAAAAAATATATCTCTGTCTGAAACATTATCTTTTAAAATCATGTTTTTTTGAAAAATGGTACTTTCGCCCCCGCTCTCCCCTATATATTTTTCAGTGTTGGTGTTGTTGGCAATAAGAGAAAAAAAATCTAAACTCATCAGCAGGAATGTATTTGTGTGACAAAGTTAGACACACAAAATCACTCCATCACTCAGCCAAAGTGAACAGTCCTAACACTTAGAATCTCCATGCTTTACTGTCATTGATGAACCCAAAGAGACATTTGATTAAAATGGAAAATTGTTTTAACTCTGGAGAAGCGATAGCACTAAAGACAAGAAAAAGGAGAATGTATGAAGAAAGTCTTTGGGGGGAAAAGACATTTGAAAGCACTTCACAAATACAGATGCTGTTATTGGTGTGTGTGTGTGTGTGTGTGTGTGTGTGTGTGTGTGTGTGTGTGTGTGTGTGTGTGTGTGTGTGTGTAACAGCTGCCATCCTTCCCAAAGCCTGGAGGGTGTACTGAAAAAGAACAGCTGAAGTGTTGTAGCATTTATGCAACACTACATATGTTTGCAAAGTTGCAAAAAGAGGGGAAAGTGCATTTACATAGTTCTGGGCAACATGTTAATTTGATGCCGGAGGTAACGGCATACAAGGGGAAAAATCAGAAGGACCAGGATTTGCAAATGGACTGTGGTTTGAGATTAGAAAAATAAATAAACATATAAAACATGCACAGCAGAAGAAACCATGCAGACCTCACAGCAACTGGCACAGGATTATATACAAACTGTTGGTGGTACTGTGAGTGACTGTAGAAAAAGAAGTGATACAGCTTTTGTAATGCAAATGGTTTTGTTCTGCTTTAATTATATGCTCAAGTATTATCAGTTCATACCAGACAATAATAGGCAATAAGATTACAAAGATATTCCTTTTTCAAACATTTTCTGTTTCAGTACGTCTACAACTATAATAAACTAGGCTAAATAAATAAATAGTCTGGCTTATATGATGAACACTATGTTTATACATCGAAATAACCCCCATGTCAATAAAGATAGTGTCACTAAAGAGTGCGTTTAGAATCGGAATCTCTGTTCAAGTTCTTTCAAAAATAAACTTTAAACAAATTCTCAGGAACATTTGGGAAATCAGTCCAAAAGGTGAAATCTCAATTAACACCTCAAGGATACAACAGCACATCATCTGCAAGTGACCACTCACTCTTTTTCAAACAGGTATTGCTTTGTGTGATGAACATGAGTTTAGTGTAGTATTCTCTGATTGGTTTGTTTAGTTTAGTGTGAATGATTCTGCGACATGTCCTTTATATCTTCACATTTTGAAAACACTGACATACGAAAAATTCCAGGCTTGAAACTTTAGTTTTAGGATCATTGCGCTTGAGTTACTACTACTACTGGCCATTTTTTTTGCAGTCCATCTGATTTCTAATTTCTTTCATCTTTCACTACTGCATGCTTTCCAATGTAAGTAAAACATGTCTATAAACTTTTGTCACTGAATGCATTTCCTGTCCTAAGACAGTAGCCTCCAGGACACAATGTGAAGTTCATTAAAACACTATTCTCATAACAAGCCTCTATGTTAATTATTTTTGAGCATCCAAATAGGTTCCACAGGGCATAATTTGGGCATAAAACAAAAACACAACAGACCTCCAAAACACTGTATAAAAATACTTACAAACCTTCAACTTTGTCCTATTCAGAATTCTCAAGGTGGATAACAACGCAGGGACTAAACAAAATGAAAATGCAAAATGATCATAGAGGAGGAACTCATCATTGGCACTGTATAATGAAATCCAATCGAAGGGGAATAATAACAGTCGCAAACAGACTCAAGGGATTCCAATTTCCAGTCTCATTACCCAGTAATGGTTCAGGCATTAGTGAGATGAGGTGAATAGAATGTCAGGTCTGGGAGAAAAGGTTCCCTTCCTAATGCTTTTGGACACAAATCAGCAGCATCCGATGAACTCTTATTGAGGCATCCATGACAGAGGCACACTGCGATATACATCCTGCAAAGTATCTGTGCTGTCCTTGGCTGTTGATCAAAACTGTAGCGTTTACAGTAGGGCTGGGCTTTGCAGGAGTTTCATTATCTGTATGAATTGACTTTGGCATAGTGACACATTGCCCAAATTGCTGCCACAAGAAATGTGAGATTCAGGGTTATAAGAGAATGGATTTATATTTGGATTATGGGAGTTTGAATGTATTTACATTTTGAGCTGTATAACATTCTTTGTAATTAACTGGCAGTGAATTATAATGTCTACGATACATTAAAATACTTTCACAAAGTGTGGGATATTACTACTCACATGACTACTGCCCATAAACCCATTACTTCATTTAAACTTAAAGCTGCATTAATCAATTTTTGTCGACTTGGGGGCACGCAAAGGGCAAAACAAGCTGACACACAAACCTTACATATTATTACTTTATTAAGTTGTGATAGCAGACATGTTAGCAAACATGTGACTGATTAAACATCCAGCAGACAACAAGCAACATTATAATCCCGCCTCTTTCTGGCTATCTGACAGATGTGCAGCCGAAATTTGCTCACCTTTTAGATCTGTTTTAGTCTACACCAACTCCTGAGAAAAATATCTGACTCTTCAGCTTGCTAAATGTGCAGGTCACGTGGAAACTGGCTGCCTTTTGCCTCTGGCAACAGGGTAGAGAAAACTGAACTGAGCTAAAAAGTAAATAAAAGAAAAGACGAAAAAGCTCCACAGATATGCAGAGTTGAGTGATTGTTCTCTGTGGTTCTCACTACGACGAGCAACTCCTTTCCATTACCCTTCGTCATTTGATTCACTGTTAATATAAAAAAATATTGATTAATGCAGCTTCAAATTAAACAAACATGAAGACATTTCCTGTAGAAATCTATGGCTTGGCTGGAACAATTTGTCCCAGAGCTGTAATTTCAGCATGAAGGATATTCATCTGAAGATCCTAGGAGATTACATATGTATCTGTGGGGACTATCAGAGGCAAGATTTACAAAAGAGGCCTTCTAGATTCTGAAAATGCCCGTTTATTTATAAATATACTTACTAATCTATTCATATCTAGGGGGAAATATGGCTTAAAACATTGGAATAAAGGTAGTCAAAGGAGATTGCTTTTTCTCTCATGATCTCTTATTAAATATTATCCAATTTTGTGCTTACAAATTTGGTATTCAGGGATGCTTAAGAAACACAAGAAAAATTTTAATGTTAAAACTCTTTATGACTTTGTGAGAAGATCATCTTTTACAGCCGGCCTACTGACAAAATGTGGTCGATACAGTAGTTAAACCCCATTAAAGTGCCAACTTCTGGTATCAGGTCCCTGATTTTCTTTTAGTCCCATTTGACCCTAAATTTGCATTAAATGAGGTGAATGCGAGTATAGTGAAGCAGAAATGCAGATATATTGTTGACTATGTTGTAAAATACAGTAAATAAAGGAGGCAGAGATGGAGAGATGCTACTTTACCTCTAGTGATCTGTGCAGCTTCTATGTCTGTGAGTAGAAACATCTCGATGCTGCAGATTCAAAAGTCATCATACAGACTTTATTATGTGAGAACAGTCTCCTCTCAGATTCTCCCTGATGCCACTCGCTCAACATTCATACATTCGGATAGTCATAACTGGAGTGGGTAGAGAGAGGAGGAACTGTAGGAGAAAGAACAGAAACACCCCCCCACCCCCCTCGTGTTCCTGCAGTCTAACCCCTTATTGAGTCACTCCTCCAGAAGAGTGTAATTAAGATCACAAGTTTGAGGATAGCCTGGATCTGACTTTGATGTAGTCTGTCTCAGGAAGGCTCACTATAGAGTCCTTCTTGGGTAGTCCTGAGTCCCCCAGACCTGTTCCCACACCCCCTACTGCCAGCCCTGCACCAGTTCCAAAACCCTGTACAGAACCAGGCAGGGATGCTACAGGGAAGGCCCCCACAGACATCTGGTGGGGCAGTACCACCCTATGTGGTATAGCGCTTCGGATGCCTGTGTGACCTGACGGGGTCTGAGGGGGTCCAATGGAAGTGGAGGAGACTCGTGCAGATGGGGTCGGACTAGGGGCACCTGGTTGCGCCCCCTCATGAGGCAGTGAGGGCTGAGAGGCTGACAGTGCCCTGGCGTCTTGGCTGAGACCCCCCATTTGCAAAGAATGGGTACTCTTATGTGTGCTGGGCCGGTGTGCAGGGCTGACTGTATGCTGCTGGACTAGAGAAAGCTGGGAGCCTGAGGTGGGACCCGCCAGGCCACTGGATCCATACTGGAATGATCGTCCTCCAACTGCCAGTGGGCTCTGGACAGGGGGGCTGGAAAGGATGGGAGCAAAGGCACCAGAAGCAAGGAGCTGAGACTGCAGTGGAGAGGCTGAGACAGGGCTGGATACACTTTCCATCACCTGGAATCTCCTCACCATCCTAGGGGACTGCAGGTTCCCAGCTCCCACCAAGTTCCCTTGCATGGGGGGACAAAAGTTCATAGCTACGGCCTGCTGCAGAGTGGCAATTGCTGAATTCTGGGGTTGGGTGGAGGAACCTGGAGGAGTAAAGATCCCACCATGTAGAGGAGGTGTCATGGACATGGCCCGTGGTCGTGGTACATCAACTTGCTGAACCATCTCCCGATCATATTTAACTATCTCTTGGATCATCTCATTCTCGCGGTTGTTGAAAACACCAGAGTTCAGATCATGCTGAACTTTGTGCATCAGGATTGAGTTCTTCTTACCTGCAATGACATGGAGACAGAAGGTAGTATTGTTGCTGAAGTAGTTGATATTGGTTACTAAAAGAAAAAAACCCTGCCAAGTAAAATTTTGTTCAGTCAGTGTTTACTATAGATAGAAATAACAGGGTAACACTTTCTATGAAGGTCATCGCTATAATGACTTATGCATATATTTATAACACGATATAATGCGTCCACAAGACATTATAACAGTTGATATAATCACTTACAAACATGCATTAGGCGCTATAGCAAAGTTCATAATGTATTATGACCTTGACTTCAACAATTACTTGACTTGACTAAATGTCTTTTAGTAGGCTACGTTTTGTGAAGTGGTTGTCTTTAATTGTCCACTGCATCTCTTAGGGCCTGTCCATAGGCTCGCCATTCATCTGTGACAACATCTGAGCCTCTTCTTACATGAAGTTGGTCGGCAACAGGTCTTCTCTTGAGCAATCTTTCACCACCAAGGAGTTTTCTTGATGTAATTATGTTGTGTTTTTGTGCGAAACAGCAAAATGTTCAAAATTCATACAGACTGTTCATAAAGTGAAGAAACATAAATAAAAGTTGTTTTCCTGCGCAAAATGTGTGTCACTTTACTTAAAGCAAAATTACGTATTATAAGGTCTTATAATTATTTCATATGGTATTATGTCCACCTGTAATATATTACACAGGGATAGATATTTTAACACTTTACTTAAAGCAAACAATGACATGCTATATAACTTTAAACATTACTATAAGCTATTATTCCATTTTATATCACTAATTCTAAATGGTGACTAAAGTGTATTCATAACGAGGCAGAGTCGATGGATATAATGTGTTATGGAACATGGTCGGAGATTCTTGCCGCACATTGATATAAACTGGTAAAACTATTAGGTATAAAACATTAAATCACAATCATAACACATTATGAACTTTGCTATAGCCCCTAATGCATGTTTGTAAGTGATTATAACAATTGTTATAATGTCTTATGGACGCATTATATCGTGTTATAAATATATGCATAAGTTATTATAGCGATGACCTTCATAGAAAGTGTTACCGTAACGGCTTTTAGCATTTACCATCATCCTTTATTCTATTTCTGGCCATGGTGGATAGAGTAGCCTATATATGGAACTAGCTTTTCCTCACACACAAAATCCATCACTGACAAACACAGAGAGAGAGAAATGGAGAGCAACTAACATTTTGCACTATAGTGCCTATTGTGGGGACAGGCCAGTGTTTTTGCAGAGTCATCTCAGTGCTGACAATGTCTGTTGCAAAGGCATTTGTTTATCACTGTTTCTATTACTAAGGATGTACTACCTATATGTGATTAGATTATGCACGTGTTTGTGTGTGTGTACTTCTACATGGCTGGTGCTTAGCATGCACCGGCCATGCATGCTAATGTAACTCCAGCATGCTGAGTATGAGTGTAGCCTCACGACTGCTTATCCCCACATGTATGCAGTACCAGAGACATGCAGCAACCTCACAGCTCAGCTCTCCTTAAACTCAAGAAACCGAGAACAGAGGGCCAGCTGAACACACTGTTAGAGGAAGCAGTCAAAGACCCTTCCACGGTGAGTGGTCTGTGAGTCACAATATTCACTGTGCATCTGCGATTACTTGTGCGTAATGGGAGATGCTTCCTAGATACAGGCCCACAGGGTCGCCATGACCGTGGTGGCAAACAACACATGCTTGAGCAGTTGCTGTATCTGCTGACTTAACTGTGGCACGCATTTTTTGTATTCGATGGGGAAAAAACATGTTGTGTGATGTGTGAGATAACGTACAAATTATAATTAAGTTCCTCCTCTCTGACAAAAGGACCAGGAAGAGTGATGGAGGAGGTAAACAGAGACATCTCTCTTCTTGATGAAGAGAGAAAAGGAGCTCATTTGGTGAAACAATTCTTTCTAATCAATGAATCAATTGCTTTGACATGTGAAGAGAGGTAACTAATGACGACTTGAGGTGGACAAACCCTCAATATGTCAGCTGTCCCTTTTGTTAATCATAAAGGGAACTTAAGTTAAGGAGAAAGGAGAAAGGCCAATCCGGACAGGGTGCCTCTTAATGTAGATACGTATAACCTTTCCACAACTGACGTAGGATGTTCGGAGTATGAAGAAGGGGAAGAAAATGTTTTTTCCTAGAGGGATGTTTTAATGTGTCTTGGGTCGACTGGAGTTGGCACTCTAAGTTTACCCAGGCTTTACATCCAGCAGATGGTAGGGCTGAAATGTTGGAATATCTGGAGCAGCAATGTTAATGATGATGTTAAAGGCCAATCAGGGCAGCTCCCTGTCTGTGAAATATTCAGCTGCTTGCTGGCCTTCTTAGCTGCACCCAGTTGACTCAATATCTGCTGTACATTGAACGGAATCACAGGAGATGGGTATGTAGGGAAGGTGTGTGCAACTTGAGTAGCTCTTCCGCATTACTTAAATGCGCTGTGCTGCAGCCTAGAAAAATCTGGCAGTAACATCGATAGAGTCCTTCCTGGAGGACAAGGTCTTCATTGAAGTACACTTCATCCTGAGGAAGCTAGAAACTGGTAGCACCAGCCAGGTGTCCATCTTGGGGACTCATGGACAGCAAACAGATGCTACAGGCAACACCCAAGGGTGATAATAACCCGCTGATGCTATTTCAGGCTAAGCTGGAAAAAAAGGCAACAGGGCAAGCACCACCTGATAGGGAGGTAGGCACACAAGTTGTCTCAGGTGCCAATGCAGAGCTTCATCGGGGGTTACGAAGAATTTTAGAGGTCAGAGACCTTATGAAATTGAAGCAGTTGGTTAGCTGAAGCTTCCCTTTTTGCAGAAGTCACATACGCTTTCACAACAATGCCTAATTATTACCTAGTAAAACCTCCATCCCCCTTTAAATCACTGCTAAACACCTGCTTCTGCTGATCTTCTGTGACACTGTGTTTCCAATTTCATGTATTAATAGCATGAAGTCAATGGAAAAGGGATTATCTCCTCTCTATGTAGGAATGGCTGACAGGTCAGAGACTGTTTATATGAAAACATATAGATGGCTACTGGAACAAGTCTGGTTCCATCAATCCTTCAAAAAAAGATTATATTTGGGGGCATTTCTGTGTTTATTGTATAGTGACAGCTACAGAGAGAGGCAGGAAAGGCAGGAGAGAGAGCGGATGACATGCAGAAAAGGGCCCAGGGTTGGAATCAAACCTGGGCCGCTGTGGTAAGGACTCAGCCTTACTTGCCTGATTTTTTATTCACACCAAATTAGGCGTTGTGCCTCTGTGTGTTTGATCCAGATGACAAAGTCAAACAAAAGAACACATTATTACTGATTAATATTCATCAAGCGCACATGGAGCCCGACGGGAATGTTTGGTTGGTGGTTGGGTATTAAAGATACGCCAGTCTCCCTCCAAAAATGTGAGATGCCTGACTGAAGGCTGCTCATGTGTGGAATCTAGCTGCTATGGCAACAGCTGGCAGGTGGCTGATGCAGGGCTTTTGTAAACATGTGAAGTGTGGTCATGTGACAGGGGGATGTGACATCAGCTCTGCTGACCTTGGTGGTTATGATGGGAGGGGCAAGTTGTTTGCATTGTTTATTTACTCATTAACAAGGCGCTACCAAAGCTTCACTAAGAGAAAGCAGTCTCTGTGCATGTTTGTGTGTGTGTGTATGTGTGTGTGTGTTTCTGCCATCAAACCACAGATGTTCAGACAGAGTCGCTGCTGTGCAATCATTTTAACAAATCAGTAATTTAATCTAGAGACAGTAGGCTATTTAGGTACAAAAGGTGATATTGCTGCACAGTTTCAGCCATGATATTCACATACGTGTCACATACGTTAAAAAAAACTTTTTCCAAAATATCAGATTTCCACAGGAAGCATTCAATTGAAGAAATTGCAAAATAAATGATTCACAGCCATGAATACATTTTCACAATCAGTTCCATTCCTCCACCCCACACATCGCCCCTCTTTCATTCACACAGTTCATCACAGCTGTCAGATAGTGCAGTGTTTTGACAGAGACATCACGTTAATGAATGAATACATTTTCCTTATGCATCGTTTCATCTTATAAATGACTCATATGCTTAGGGAGACACCATACCTGTGGCTTTTGTTAGTGAGGCGTAATGCGAATTAAGCGTGACTAAATCTCTAAGACAAATTTCATAAATTAGGTCTGAATGGAACGATTCATTTGTTACATTGTTTAATTTTGTTCTAAAGACACAACAGAGGGAGTAAAAATAAAAGCCACATGAGCTTGCTGAGTGGACAGAGATTTAATGATATGTCATTCTGCGAGACTGAAACCAAATATTTATGTTTTTTTGGTTTGGTTTTGATAAAATACATGACTAGCACATAGACTAGCATTAAAAAACTTTAAGACATCAGATGTCTGCATTTGGCTGTGTATAAATCTACCTATTGAATGCGCAATGTGAAAACAAGTAATGAGGAAATTGCTTGGCAGTTACTTAGTGTGCTCCTGAGTTTGAAAGGCTGTTCACTTCTGCCCAAGTGAACAACAACAAAAAACTAACCAAACTCACTAAAGTTTTGAACACCTTTACACACCACGGAAAAATGGCCATTTTAAACAATATCAAATAAAGGCAACTGGTGGAGTTATTGTTGAAGGTGGCAGTCTTACCTATCCTGTCCAATCTGTCGATGGCGACCGTCTCAAAGGCCCTCCTCATCATGGGGTACTCCTCAAGCACCTCATTGAAATTGTCCACAGAGAGAGAGTACAGGCGACAGTAGGTGTCCGCTCGCACACTGGCTGTCCGTCTGCCACGGGTCAGCAGACAGATCTCTGGTGTAGTGAAAGGGAGACCAGACAAGTGACAGATCACAGAATGGCAGACTGACAGACTTCAGGGTGTCAGAAGGTGACAGAAAAAATAACAGAGAGAGAAGTGATATCCCACTATTACAGTATTATCAAATAATAACATGAAGGACATCTTCTGTCTAAGATGATTAAAAATGACCCCGGTCCTGTTTGTCTCCTTTATGTTTTGTCAGGAAGATATTACTTTTTAGCCTCAGTTGATGTCCATATGCATCAAAACTACTAGTTAGTAATTTATACCACCTTAATTCACCTTAAACATCACTTTAAGATACTGCATTTTTTGGCCCAAATTTGGAGAATATTTTAGTCATGTGAACATTTAAATATTCATCGAGCTTTCTAAAGTCTGGCTGTACAAAACTTGTAAACAAATGAGTGATTACAATGAAAGTGTTTTATGCATGCAGTAGTTGTGTGTAGCCAGTATGACCCACTGATAGTAAGACTGAGTATTACCTCCAGCACTGGCACAGCACTGACAGCTGTGTGAAGGAAACACACTCTATATTTGGAGATGTGCAGCTAAGCTTCATTACATTCAGTTGTTCCCCTTCCTTTCCCCTAGTATATTCTCTCTAGCTTTCTTCTATGGGCTGGGGCTGACTGTTGTCTTGACAACCATATGCCCTCCTTTTCCCCCGCCTGAAAGGTCGACCTCCTCTGACTGTATGCGGGAAAGGGAGAAAAACGAAATGCGAGATTCCATTAAGAACATGCATAGGGGCACTATACTGAAATGGACTATGGCTGCTCCAGCAGCAAATGGGGCTCTGCACAAAGCGAACGAATGAGTGAACGAACCTACCCCTGTGTCATTAAAAGCATAAAATAATACAAGCATAAGCAACTGTGCTATGACTGTGCAGTGTTCATTAGAGGAATAGTTTTTAAGAAATAATCTTATTCACTTTCTTGACAAGAGTCAGATGAGAAGATTGATACCATCCTCATGTCTATCCATTGAATGTGAAGCTACCGCCAGAGCTGAAAACAGGGAGAAACAGCTAGACTAGTTCTGTCCAAAGGTAAAAATAAATTTGACAAGCTGTGGGGGTTTACGTGCTGGATTGTTTTTTGCCCAGGTGCACCACGATGATGACAAGACTACAGACTATAAGACTCATTTGTACTAAGCTATGCTAACTGGCTGCTGGCTGTAGTCTCATATTTACCATACAGATATGAGACGATTATTAAGCTCTTGGCAAGAAAGCAAATAACTGTACAAACGTATCCTTTTAAGGCAACCCCCCCCCCCAAAACAACTAACATTAGCCATAATGGTAGGATCTAGGCCACAACAGCATGACGGTTTCAGTGCGTCATCCCTTGCATATAAACAGATACACTGTTTCTATACAACAGACGCATACTGTAAATACAGTACACTCACACACACCCACATACATTCACCGACTATGTGTCTACAGCAGCTTTTTATTCAGAGATTATTTAACTGTGACCTTGAGTGTGACGATGTTTTCTGCCTAGCTGAGAAGGATTTTCTCGGTAGATCAATGATTAATAGGCTAGGAAGATAGACACTCTACCGGCTACTGTACATCAGTGTTAATGTTCCTCATGGTCAGCGGCTGTAATGGAAATAAAAGCTGTAGGATAAACTGTATTAATCCCTTTAGACAGAACTATGACATGCGGTCGTTGCATTACTCTGTCTGTAGCATGTTTATGAGTGTTCTGAGTTTCGTCCAGTAATTTTCAAGAAATGAAGGTTGAATTTTAAGCATTATTGATGCTCCAGTTTTGTAAGAGTTGTCGAAAAAATCTCCTCAGAATCCACAAGATGCCCCAGATGTTCTTTCATAAATTGTCACTTGGTATCTTCCTGGTTATACATAACACAACCATTTGCATATTGCTAGCATCATTAGTGGGAACTGCTGGGAGAGGATAATATCACTAATGAAACCGTTGGGGCTACATTAAAAAGCTGTTCAGACCACTGAGTAACCATCTTGTGGATAGGGAAACTGTCATCCTCGAATATATAATTATTATATAATAATAAAAAATACAGATAAATCCAGCATGGGTTAAGTTGCTAGCACTAATTGGGATCATGACTGCCTTAACCTTGCACTGTTTCCTGTTCCCATTAGTGGAAAACATAATGTCCAAAATTCTCTTTTACAGTTTTATTGCCTGATGTTAACTTCTTCTCCTCTTCTAGGTACCCGTTTAAACATGTTGTTAACCTTATTCGCGTCTTCTTGATTCTGAAAGTTAATGCAGCTCAAACATTAGTTAACTACATAAGCCCCCCACAATCTGTGCTACTATCAATATAAATCATTTTAATTACAGGAAAAAACTTTGAGGCAACATTTAGTGAAAGCTTTGTCAGTTCAGACCGGTCACAGCAGCAGCAACACAAGTCTATGCAGAGTAATAGTACAAAAATTGTAATGTAACTTCAATATTGTCACCAAACCCAATTAAGGATCAAGCTGTTATTTAATGAACAGATGCTAAGTAATGTGATGGCTGTGGCTGGACAAGTGGTAGGCAACATTATTCTGCTAGACCGCAAAAAAGGCTAAACTGCAGACTCCGCCGCATTTCCAGCTACAGAAAATAGTTTGCAAAGCTCTGTCGTGTTTTAAATATATTAGTACAATAACAGAGCCAATCCAGGGAAAGCCAATGAGAAATGTGTACAAAAATGTGGCATCAGTACAGGCTAAGGAATGTAAATGTAAATGCCCGGAGCATTCGCTTTTCTGAAACGTGTAAAATACATCCAATCTGTGACCTAATGTTTCTAACCACTAAATACAGCTAAATCCTATAAATATAATTTAGAGCAAATTCACATGTTTGGCCTAACATCACTATCTACTTACTGCTACTAATTGAAAGATTTGACCACAAATGCACACTGCAATGCGCCCTACCACACAGCTGTGGTAAAACCATGTTGTCCATCCAGTCCTGCTAGTTAGACCTGTGCGTCCGTCCCTGGTGGCAGGGACAGCTCTGAACAGTCTATGCTTGACATTACAAACGGGCCCTGTCATCACCGTTGTGCTGTGCTAATTAGCTGTTATTAATTGGATGTGTGTATGTGTGATGTGTATGTGAGTGTGTGTGCCATGCATCCATGCCACTTCAAGAGCGCTGCACGTCAGTGAACACTGGTTGGCTGCAGAGGGCAATTCACTTTAAAAACATGGCCCAAACCATCAACCCAGGAGACTTAAAATAGTGCATGGGTATATGTTTGTGTGCGCCTGTGCGGGTGTATGGGGCGATAACGGCAGAGGCAACACGTGTTTTTAAACAGCCACAGAGGAACAACTCCCTAGGAAAGTGGGACAGAAGTGGCTGTAAGGCAAGACTGCACAAGAAGTCCAAGTAAAATGTCAGGGTACTGTTTTTTTTTCTGCTTGTTGCTGCAATTCCTCTTTAAATACTAAACAGACATCTGTGATATTACTTTACTGGATTGCATTGTGATTCCAAGTGTAAATAACACATGCATGGAAACGTTAAACAGAACAGAACACAATAGAAGTTATATTCTAGGGTTGGGTGATGTCAAATTGGCATCTGACGATGTCTACAGTGAAACATCAGGATGGATCTACTCTGTTCCTTTCTATCGTAATATTCAATTAAATTCACTTCACTTCACAGGGGATTTGTTGGCATGGGACACAAACATTTACATTGCCAAAGTAAGTGCGAAATGAAAACAATGTACAAAACGGAACAGAATAGAATAGAACAGATTAGAATAGAATAAAGTAGGGCTGAACGATTAATTGCATTTGCAATATTATTGCGATATGATATAATGAGATTTACTAATCGCAAAGGCTGCGATTAGGCTCTGGTCACATGATACGCAAGAGTAAACCAGTCTGCAGAGGAAGTATCATCTAATACACATTATGCTGTATTGACTTGGACAATGGCCTTAAGGCTTGACAGAAGTTGACACTAAAAAACTTTAGTAGTTGGTGGTGGTGGTGGGTGAAATCGTCGGCCATCTGCGGCTTTGATGGGCAGGAAAAATGCACAACATTGTGTATTGTTGTGATCGGTATAGCAGGCTGAAGTACACAAAGCCACCAGTCAGCACAGGAAAAACATGTGAAACGGCATTTCAAACCAAACGCACAAGTCTGAAAGAGGCCCAGTCTGTCCCGAGTTACTGCCCGGTTACAGCCAGTGCGCTGCTTACTTGCATCGCAGGCTGCAGGGGAGGAGGGGGGGACTCCGGTGTTGTCAGAGAATTACCAAGCTTGTCTATTAAACACGAGAGACGTCACATGGTTTTATTTTCGTTGGCCAACTTTTGAACAATTGAACCTCAAAGTGAGTATTTATTTAGGTTTTTGAGATCGACTCATTAATTGGTGGTTGAAATGTGGGTTTGGTATTGAGCGCTTAATGTATAATACACTGTTGTGAACTTTATTTTTCTTGTGGTCTATAGGTAGGCCGACCTGATGATATCATATTATTTAATGCCATGAAATGACTCTCAAATTATCTTTGTCATAATATCATAATTTTATATTTCTTCTCCCCCATTGCTCATAATAATAATTCTTGCATCACCTAATTTCATCATAACAAAGTCCTGGCCTACAAGAAAGAACAGGGTATAATATTGTGTTGGTCATACTATACACTGATTTACTGTTAGTCCATTTTGAATAAGGAGGTAAAGAGCTTAAAAATTAATCGCATATTAAATCACAATATTGGAAAAATAAAACAAAGCATGATCCTAAGGTGACAAAGACAGTGACGTACCTCCAAAGTAGGAGCCGTCCATCAGCTTCATGCCGATGCTTCCTTTGGTCAGGACACTGACCACCCCGTGCTGGATGAAGTACATCTTCTTGCCGATGGTGCCCTCTCTGACGATGTAGTCTTTGGGCTGGAAGACTTCAAATCTCAGTTTGGTCAGCATGGCTGTCACAAAGTTTGGATCGGCATTGGCAAACAGCGGCATGGAGGCCACCAGCTTTCGGCAATTGAAGTTGACGATTTCCTAAATGGTGACAGGAAACAGCGTTGAAGCCTGATGTTATTTTGGATGTCGTAAGATTGTTGTGCATGCACGTTAGACATTATAAGAGTTACACTGCATGAATTCCAGCACCAGAAGGAACAGTCAGATGTGGAAAATAGATGCTAAGATTTAGCTTTATTGTTTTTGGGGCATGTTCTGATTTGCCATTTCAGGAAGAAAAACCAGTAAAACTTTGGATTAAATGTTTGATTAAGCATGATGGTTAGAGCTCATGTATTTCTTTATTTGAAAACAGTTTACTCCTATTATTTTTCAAAGGGCTAAAAAAACTGACATTAAAAACATATTTTTTCCAGGGCACATGTTTAACCGTTTTTATAGTTTTTTTTTTTTATTACCTGGGGGGACTCTGGCAAAGCTCACTGGAGTATTCTCCCTATTATATTTTCATTTTCCTGAAGCATACTCTGCTCTGTCCTTGAAGCAAGAGTACCTTATTTACTGTTAACTGCAGTAAACAGTTCCCGCTGGCCGCAAGAAACAACTTTTGGGTGCGTGGGAACATAAAGTCCATGAAAATCACTCTAAAACCATCTGTTCCTTTCTTTTAAAATCTAGTTATTTTTCTGGAATGACGTCAGGTGACTTAAAGGGAGAGTAAGTGATTCTGCAGAAGGATTGTTGATATTTAAACTCAACTGCCTAACAAATATACCACTCCCTTCAGTGCTCCCTTAGAAGCTCCGCTCCGGTTTCTCCAGCATTGAAAGGCCTTCACCCTTGCCTGGTCATATATCTTATCTGTTTATACTCTACAGACCTTTTCCTCTGGCTGGTACCCAGCCATCTCTCCTTCTTCATAGTGTCTGGCGTCCAGCGCGTTCGAATGTGCCAGTGTATAGAACTCTCTCTCGCACTGCCCCACTCCCACCATTACTCCTGTGCACAGGCACTAACTGTTGCTGATTGGCTGGAACAATAGCTACTGAGTGTATAAATTAAGAACAGTTTTTCTTTGTTCAGGAAAAGAGACCATAGTTGAGCATTATGATGAATTTATTCCAGTCCACTTAACCCGGTGGAAGGTTAAGAAGTGTGTGTATTTGTGCAAGCTTGGGTGTTTTCATACCTCACGCAGGGGCTCATTAAGCTCCTCCAGGATGCTCTCTTCATCAAACATTTTGCCCTGGTATCTGTGCTCGTAGTAGTCATGGATTTTCTGTCGGAAGTCGGCCGGTAGCTTGTGGAACGACATGTACTGTTCCACTTGTTTGTACTAGAGGGTGGAGAGAGGCGTGAGAGATAGTGGTTTAGAAGAAGCAGAAGCATAAATCAATGGAAACAGGATTCAGAAACCTTGGCGAAAGAAAAAAAAAAGACATGGTCTTATCACCAAAAAAAAAGACATGGTCTTATCACCAATTATACCTCATTCATGTGTGCAGTTATTGAGATGTACAGCTCTGTAAATATGAAGATGTGTGACCCATTTATACCTTGTAGCTACTGTGAACTGTGATGAAGTTGTTAAGGAAACATGACAGCTCTGTTGAGCCCATGAGGATTCATCACGCTCTACTGAGTTCAGAGAAGAAAGACGCTGCTATTAACCACATCTTAACCACGGGGAGTCTCTCTCTCTCTGGTGTTTGGTGTGCTAAATGCTTGATTTTAAAAATCTACGAGAAAGTATTATCAGGTTTTTCACTGGGATGACATGTCTATTGTTGTTCTGTGTTGTGCTCGTCATGAGGAAAAATATATGAAACAACTCTTCCATGACCGGTGGGCATTTGTGTCCTCCTATTCCTATTCTGACAGAGGACTGCGTTTGTTATTTATGGTGGAAATGATAAATATGTAACTACATGACCAAAAAAAAAAATGTCGGCTGCAGCACGTCATGTTTGCTCATGCAAGTGATTCACACGATCACATATTCTCTGTTGTTATGTTTACCTACATGCAGCCTGAATGTCCACCAATATATTTTGATGCTCTGTAACACATTTCATGCCTGGATTCCCTGGGAATATAGCAGCTGCAGGATCTACTGTATAGCTTCTGGTGTAAGGTGGAATCGCATGGCTCTTTCGATTATTCCACATTCACTGTACACATATGGTTTTTGGGTTTGTGTTATTTACACCAGGAGGACGGGACAAACTACATTGATTCAGAGTCACCACCTTCCTGTAAAGCAAAAAAATACACCATTACACTGCGCACACACACACACAAACACCCCAACAACAGCAAATTCAACAACATCCTGTGGGTGAAAAAGTTGTCACATGCCAACAAGAAACTTGTGGTGAGCTGTTCACTACCTGTTATATCAGCAGGAGACTTGCTAATGCTCCAAAAAGATGCAGAAAGATGCAACAAATGGTACACATATGAAGTCCTGAATCTCATTGGGTAACAAACAACACCATACAAGCAGGAATGACATGAATGAATCAACTTTTCAAGGACCCAACAACAGAAAGGCTGTTTTAAAACTGATCAATACAGTCAATCAATGTGCAAGAAAGGCAACAAATCCATGTGGCCCGGCATTTGGAGTGGCTTTAAAACGTTATGTAAGGTCTCCGTAGTGTGTGTGTTTGTGTGTGCGTTAAGCGGTGTGAATCATCACACTGTGGAAGTGAATGAGTAGTACATTTCAAGCAGAGGGTCAAGGGAGAAGCAACCCGGTCCAACACCACAATTGGACAGATACAACAAGATGCAGCTCATTTCTTCCTCGAATATGATGGTTAGATAAGTGTTGTGCAAACAGCCTTGGGTAATAACACTTCTGGGTTTTATTTTTTACAGTGCCACTTACTGGCAGTGAAAAAGAAATTGATTGCACCCTGTCAAGCAAAGCTGTCGTTGTTTACAGCTTACCTGTGGTTTTGCAACGTCTATATTAATCAGCGGAGTTGTAATTCTTTTGCCTTTCTCCTTTGAAACTGTCAAAGCTGTCAGTTTTCATTGTTTTAACCTCAACTGAAGAATCAAGTCTCATAAAACTAGAATTACCACCCTGCAGTTGTATGTCTCTGCCAACCATTCAAGTCGCAGTTTGCATTCATGTACTGTACCTGGAAGGAATTGAATAAAAAGTAAGTAAACATTTGATAAATAAATAAAGCTATCACTATATTGATGATACATATGATTCTAGTAAATATACATTGTTGAACTGATTAATGAAGGATTATCATAGCTGTAATTGCTAAACAGGTACACATGCACTGAATCTCCATATGGTCATCTCCAGTCTGTTCCTGAATTATGGTATTGGATAATGGGCAAAAAAGGACATTGTTTCCCAGTGAAGTTGACCTTTTGGGTAAAAAGAGTTCATCACTTCATCTTTGTACCCCATTAAACATCTGTGTAAAATTTTGCCATAATTACTGCATCAATCATTTAATTGTGACCAAAGATGTGTAGTTATTTTGAGGTCACAAATTAATTGTCCAACCAACTACATGATATGGTCATCAATTCTTAAGGCCAGAAACTTGTTTTGTGAGGTCATAGTGACCTTGACCTTTGACCAATTCTAATCAGTTCATCCTTGTGTCCAAGCAGATGGCCATTTTTTTTTTGCCATTCCCTCAAGGAGCTCCTGAGGGATACTGCGTTGATGCTGAATTTGATGAAATAAGAAAGGTCAAGCTAAAAAGGGCATCAGCCCATGAAAAGGAGACAATTTGGAGATATTCACTCGACACTCATGAGTGAAGAATCAAATGCAGATACCTCACAGGGCGCAAAGAGCAGTGGTGGAAGAAGTACTTGATTTGCATACTTAAGTAAAAGTACACATACCACACATAAAATGATACTCAAGTAAAAGTCATCCAGTATAATACTACTCAAGTAAAAGTAAAAAAGTTCCTGGTTTTAAAAGTACTTAAGTTACTAAAAGTAAAAAGTACTACACATTCAAATATATTGATCTTAAAAAAAATCATATTAAATTCACTCAAGACACATTTGAATACAGCAGGACAAGTGACAGCGAATCACAATACAGTTGCAGCTACAGTTTATAAACACCATGGCAGGTCAGCGTTTATCAAACTTAACAAATAGTTATATTTCACTCCAACATTGTTCAGTCACAGTCTGGCAAGTAACTAAGACACAGACAGACAAGAGATGCGCTGCTCAGCTGGCTTAGCAGGACAGACAGAGAGAGAGAGGGAGACGCACTGCAGCTGCACATTAACTAAACATTACTGTTATCTGCTGACATCAGACTTTGAGAGGAGGGAACACAAGTTTACCTGACTGCTGTTCCCGCAGTTTATTGAGTGTTTTCTCTTCTCGTGCACAGAAGGATAGTCCCTCTTCATCCTCTCATCAAAGTAGTAAGCTTAACATTAACACTTGCTTTCACCTTTGACAAACGAGTGAGGCGGGGCCCTCCAGCTCTCTGCGAAAGTGACTTGATTACTATCACTGCGTATGCCAGAGTCGCATCAGCAGAGCGAAGTTGATTCCACATCATCAGTTTTAAGTTTCAAGTTGCAACAACTAAAATTACTCAAGTAAAGTCCAAAAAACGAACAAAGTATTTGTACTTTCACCACTTACTTTCCACCACTGACAAGGAGTCTGAATGATTTGATGAGTATGACAATGAGGTGAATCATATGCTATACCAAGGAGTCAATTGAGAAGATAACAAGATCAAAAAGTCTGTTCAATAATTCAGCAAATCAAAAAAACTGATAAATTGTACTGTAGTGTGTGTATATACTGCACCCTGTATGTATCAGGAGGAATCTAATTCTTTAATCATGTAGAGTGCCATTACCTTCCTGCCTTTGAGTCCTGACCCAACAATCACAATTTATAAGGACACGCCATGTATGGAGGACGGGGAGGGGGGGTGGGGGGGTGATGACAATGACCTTGCCTATAACAGTCAATGACACATACAAGGGATAGGACGCTCGCTGTCCAGGAAATTACACTTTGTCACACTGTAAGGTGACATATGGGTTAGAGAAGAAAATGGAGGCTTGACCCTGGGGGCTTAGGTGACACGGCAAATCACAATATCCTTTATACAGCACAGACTGGCTGTCATGGTAGAACATCATTCATTTTGATTCCCTACAGGGAGATTTTCTCTCCATAATATAAAGCAGAGTGTTTTTTTTGTTTGTTTTTTTTTACAAAAGGTTAAAAACTTGGGTTTATGTAAGAATTGCAACATTGGCTGAAGAGAGTGACATTTGTCCTTATTTTCAGGAAAACATGATCAAATTTTAGAGGCATTTTTGCTGATTTTAATTTCTTCATCTCTATTTAGACTTCTATAAATCCACACTATCTCCTATAATCCTTCTCTTTTTGCTTTTATTCCAAATGTTTGTTATGCTCTTTCTTTCCCTTTCCCTGTCTCTTTCAGGCACTTTTGATTGCCCAGTATCAGATTGTTCTCCAATGTGATGTATATACTACACAAATAAATACTACATACACATACATACAGTACAGCATGACCTCATACATGACAATGGACAGTAGATCACTTACTTTAATGAACCACATAATGAAATTACATCTGCAAAAACAATTTGCTGCATCCCTTTCTTCCTTACGTAAACCAATTTTAATCTCCATCTCATTCAGTCTTAATTAATTGCCCTGCGCCATGGTTCATTTCACATGAAAAGTATTAAATTAAAACCTTACAGATTGTCACCCCCAGCCATCATGAAAGTAAAGACATAATCCGGACAGCAACAATCTGAATTTTCATTTATTATTAACATATATATTCATTTAGGATATAAGAGAGAGAGAGATACCCCAAAATGTACTCCTAACTGACACAATAAAAGAAAAAAATACTAAAGCCAATTCACTTAAATTTGACAAAATCATCCCCATTTGCTATGTGTCAGTAACAATAAAGATGCAGCCGACTTTCAGAATATCCAGCTCATTCAATCAAGCATGGGGATAAACTGGGAGTCTCCTATTAAGTGTTTCCTGCCTGGGGATTCAGTGTGTGGCAGTCTCAGTTAAACTGAAATGACATCTCTCTCTCTCTTTCTCTCTATTCTCTCATTCCACTTTAAAAGTGGTTGTTGAAGCAGCTGAGTTTTATTGACTTTCTGATTCTCTCAGCATTAGACTCAGATTAGTGACCATGTCACTCAGAGTCAGTGGGATGGGAGTAAGACTCAAACGGCCTCATGTTTCCAAAGAAAAAAAAAAGAAGATAACCTCTTAACGACAACATTTGAAGTGAGATAG